CCGCAGTGATGCATCACATGGGGACGTCTGACTCGGAACTCACCCGCCTATGGTAGCGGTGGGAAGTAATATTGCCGACGTCATTGTATGTTGCTTGCAGCTCCTTTTTACTATGAAGAGCGGTGTACCCTCGCAGACCATCTCTTGATAGAAGATGCCAGCGCGGGCCTTTTCGTTGTTACTTGAGCTTCCAGCTTTCCAATTCACTCAGCAACGCCTCTTTTCAACATGTTCAGCGGAAATCAACGATGCTTGACAGCGGTCCTTGTGCTTAACCTTGCAGTCACTGTTCAGTCATACTCGTATCAAGCTGTCAAGGACATATGCGCTGCCTTGGAAACCGCATTCCCAACCCTGACCCTGTTCCCGGGCGAGTCTTTATACAACTACATAAATGAAGGTGAGACAAGACCAGTCGATGCTACGTCTTGGCAGATAGTTTCCCGACACCGAAGCCGGCATCTCACTCCAAGAGCATTCGCTAAGCGCTGCAGATTACTTCAGTGCCGAGGAATGGCTTGGACCGGCATGTATCTTTACCCCCACCAGCTCCGAACACATGGCACATGCCGTGGCGCAGCTCAAAGATTCCGATGCTCCCTTTGCCGTTCGCGGTGGTGGATGGATGCCGGTCCCAGGCGCGGCGAACATCGACTCGACTGGCATTCTCCTGGCAACTACGAATTTGACGGGCTTGCAACTGTCGTCGGACTCTTCAACGGTCTCAGTCGCCTCTGGCCATGACTGGGCAGAGGTTGTCGACTACCTTTCGCCCCACGACCTGGTCGTGGTTGGCAGCCGCATTGGAGTCGTGGGAGTCCCCGGGTTCTTGTTAGGCGGAGGCATGTCGTTTTTGAGCAACCAGTACGGATGGGCCTCGGCCAATGTTGTCGGGTACGAGGTATGTGATGTCTCAGGTTCCAAAACACAGTCAGCACATACTAACTTCTATGGCAGGCGGTCCTAGCATGCGGATCAATCGTCCACGCAACGGCAGACAATGAGTATTCCGACCTCTTTTGGGCGCTTCGAGGCGGCGGCAACAACTTTGCCATCGTCACCAAGTTCGAGCTCAAAACCTTCAACATACCATCTGTTGCCGTGGGTCAAGTTGCATACGGCCCAGGGCAGCGGGACTCGTTTATCAAAAACCTCTACGACTTCAGCCATGCTGGAGTTTTGGACGAACGTGCCTTTGTCCTCCCGACCATGTCCTTCGTCCCAGCAGCCAGCCCAAACATCACCTACTCTGCCATCCTGTTCTACAATGACAACAACACCTCTCCCTCTGCGCTTGAGAGCTTCCTCCCTCCAGTCGCTAGTCCGCGAAGCAGCACTTTCTCCGTGCGCACCATGGCTAACTGGACTGCGGAAGCCGACGAGGGCTTCGACAAAGTGCACGGCCAGAACTTCCGCTTCCACGGCTTTTCGATGCTCGCGGATCTGGACGCCATGTACGCTGTTCATGACATCTTCTTTCGGCAGACAGAGGAGAGCGGGCGTCCTATCGAGGGCTTCATCTCCACATTGGCAATGAACGCCGTGTCCAAGTCGTACATCACCAACAACCGCGGCGCGGACCTCGCGGGCGACCCCATGGGCATCGACGCGGACAAGGCGCCGTATTTCCTCTGCGAGGAGACCTTTTCGTGGTCCAGGAAGAATGACACCGGACGCATTGAGCAGCTCATGGCGAACATCAATGATGAGCTACGAGCCACGCTGGGGGAGACTATTGTCCCGTTCCTGTATCTCAACAATGCCGGTAGTGGACAGGATGTGTTCCAAGGATACCATCCGGCAAACGCCGCTAGGCTGAGATCAATCAGGGACAAGTACGATGAGTCTGGACTTCTGAAGAATCAGCTCATTGGGGGGTTCAAACTGGACTAGGGTTGAGCTTGATCATGTTAGGGTCCTTGGCGGCCGAGTAGATAGCCTTCTAATCTGCCGTCTGAAAATCCTTGAGCATAAACCTTGACAGGTAGGAGATTATTCAGCCGTCATTATATTTTATCAGAGCGACGTTATTGTTGTCCAAGAAAGAATATGCTGTAACTCTACCCCAGCTCATGCGGAAGAGAGTTCGAGTATAAAGTTAAACAACAATAGAAGATGCCAGACCCAGCATCTCAATACAATGAATAACCTCCGGTCACCATAGTACGGAATTGTCTCTTACCAAGCCCGGAGAACGGAACATGTAGAGTATTGAAGACTAAATCGAGATCGGGCACGAGTGCTGTCTTGCCAACGTGACATATCTACGTTGCATACGATGAAGATAATAGCCTCGGCATGACACTTGGCATCAAAAGTACATGGGGCCCCAGGAGTTTGTCTTTGTTCCTGGTCCTTGGCAAGCGGGAGGATCCGTCTGGGCATTGCACAATTGTCGGGTATGCGGCATCTAGATTCTACGGAAGACGACGCATCCGATATGCAGAGACCGCCATGAACCGACTCCCTAATCCCACTGCAGCATGCCAGGTTTGCCGGCTGGTCAGCGACCAAACTAATGGCGCATTCTCCTTCTCCTATTCTCGATCGCATCTATGGAAGATAGGGGCAAGAGCGAGAGCGGGAGCGGACACGAGTTGCTGGTGTTAGATTGCAAAGCATCACGCTCCGTCCAACTATGCCGATCATGACCTATAAAAGAGCCAGCATGGCTTTCAACGGTGGGCGATGGCAAGTATATAAAGACGACCATAGACATTGTAGACTTGAAAACTCATCTTCATCCTTCATTTCAACTCAGAACCACTGCGCACACATGGCCAAGTTCTGCATCCTCTACGCAGCTTTGTCTGCTCTGCTTCTGAGCTCCCAGTCATGTCTGGCGGCCAATGCACCGCAAGGCTGTAAGAAGCTGCACACTGACGATGACTGGCCCTCGCTCGAAGAGTGGCAGAATGCGATCCCCGGCGTGGTCGAGGAGAATAACAGCGACAGCGATGGAAGCCTGCCCGACTACCGCATCCGTGCAAAGAGTTATGCCGATGTTCAATGTGCCGTCAAGTTTTCTGCAGAGCACAATATCCGGCTGACGGTGCTCACGACCGGCCATGATGAGGTCGGGCGCAATACCGCAGGGTCAGGTCTGGTCATCGACATTTCACTCTTGAAGAGTGCGAGAGTATCAGCATCTTACAATGCCACGATGGACGGTGTGCCCAGCCTCGGAGCCGACGAAGAACCGCAAGTTATTGAGTCATTGCCCGGTGCTCAAGCTGTTGTCACATTCAATCCAGCTTTTAATGGACTAGAGCTGAATAGACGTCTTGCGCAGTCCGGCTTGTTTTACGTGGGAGGTACTTGGGGTGAGTAGTAAATCTTTCTGCACAAGTCTAACAGGAGCTGACCCATATAGCTGGCGTATCAGCAGCAGGTGGTTTCGGCCAGGCCGGCGGATATGGACCTCTCACTGCTCAGTACGGCCTGGGCGTTGACCAGTGGCTCGAGGCCAAGATCGTGACTCCGGATGGTGAGCTCCTGATCGCAAACGAAGTCTCTCATCCCGATCTCTTTTGGGCTATTAGAGGCGGGGGCGGAGGCACTTTTGGCATTGTGGTTGAAGCCACATTCAGAACATATCCAACGATACCCATACTCTCCTTTCATTGGTATATCAACTCGACTTTGATTGCCAACGAGACAAACTCGGATGGCCGCACACCAACCAGCGAAGCGATGGCATATCTGTTCTCAGAGTTGCCAGGCCTCCACAGCAAAGGGATCTCGGCCTATTTCTTTGTCTTCCCCGACAACATCAGGTGCCACGCCATACACCTGGATCACTTGGCCAATGCCACCGACGCGAATGAGATCTGGGGCCCCATCCTGACCAAGATGCAATCTTTCGAGGGCATGACTCCGTTTCAGAGCAAGCATTACCACTACTCCAACTTCAAGGACTTCTATGAGACTACCTATGGGCCATCGAACGACCCCCTCATCCCCACGAGCCACGGCAATGTTCCGTTTGACAGTCGCTTGTTGGGCCCAGACCACTTGCGGAGCCCTGACCTCACCAGTGCCCTCAGCGGAACAGGGGGGTCGTACGGCGCATTGATGACTGGGCCAGGGATGGCGGTTGGTGATGGAAGGGATACGTCTGCGAACCCTGGTTGGAGGAAAGCCACTGTCCTGATCAATGCTTTCAAAAGCAATACTACAAACGCCGACGGGCTACGAGAATTGGCGCCTGATATGGGGACGTACATCAATGAGGTTTGGAACATCCAGCCCTTCCTTGGGCATCCAGCAAACCCAACTAACCAGTCATCGATCAGGCTAGCATTTACGATCCAGACTGGAGCAAGTCTTTCTGGGGTGATAATTACCCGCGCTTATCTACTATCAAAGAGAAGATCGACCCGGGCATGGTGTTCTGGGTAAGCCCGGGCATCAACGCCAACTACGTGGAGGTAGTCGATGGCAGAGTCTGCCGCGTCCAGTCTACTCCGCAGGAGCCATCTAAATACGCGCCAGGCATGGATAGAGTTGTCGAGGCCGATCTGGAGAATGATAGCGTGTTTCTGTTTGGAAACCAGGAGTTGACCGGCATTCAGTTTCCGGCCCCTGGGGACCTTGTTGGGCTACAGCCATAGGCTTACCCAGTGGCTTGACTCTTGGTAAAGGTTCGCGGATCAGAGTTGCACTGCATGTTTATTGGAAGATGCTCGGCCAATTAAGTTACCTTTCAGTTATGATAGACAAGACAGGATGGAGCATATGCAACTTAATCCCTAGATTTACGATTCAAGAGCAGTTGTATTTCTGCTTATCTCAGGTCTCGTTTCACACTTGGAACTACCATCTGTAATCTATATACAGGCTGGATATTGAGATTACTATTCAAGCCTTTATTGCATTAAATGGGTGCACTAAGAAGCTCTATGTTGTAGTATTAATAAAGTTATATGATATACAAAATAATCCACAATGTCGAATCCAACACCTAGTGCTCCTTCAAAACCTCGAGGCTCACTACTCATCTAGTGAACATTACCACCTAGAGCTTCAGCATCTATATAAGATGTCTCGCCAACTGCCCGCTTAAGAAGCGCTATGAGCTCATCTACAGTTCCAAGAAACCGCACAAAAGCATACATGGCTGCCATCCAGTGCCTCCCCTCCTGACCAGCCAGGAAGTCCTTTGCGTTGCCGTCTGCCTGCAACTCCCCCCGCAACTTCTTGAACTGCATCGCCCTGCCCACCAACGGTGTTGGTAGAATTGCTGGTAGCGGGTCTCCGGAGGCCAAAGAGTGTTGAGCAAGCGTCAGGGTTGACATGATATCCGCAATCAGATTCTCGTCTCCGGCACTAAGCTGACGCATGAACAGTGTACGAGCCGGAAGCGGCAGTTTCGTAACTGTCAGGGTGAGCTGCGTGATGTAGATGTTGAGGTTGTTGCAAAGATGGTTTGAGAGGCTAAGGGTTTTGGTGTCGATGTTGGACGTTGAGAACTCGAATCTTGTCTTCTCAATCGGCTGAGCTATCGAGTTGAGGAGTTCTTCAGATACGGTCGACGCTTTTTCAACAACTTCGACAAGATCCTCCGGAGGCGATCGCCATGTCGAAATGAGCAAAGCGTAACGATCCCTCACGCTGGAAATTTGGCTGGACAAGATCTGGCGATAATGCCGATTCCCGGAAAGAGGCCGTGGCAGAAGCGCGATCAATACCGCCGCGCCGAATCCAATAAGCACCAGGAGGATCCTGCGCCAAAGCACATCGTATCCCACCCCCGGGTTGCCATAGCTGGGAATATGCGTGTCGACCCAGCTATATGCCACGACCATGTACATAGTCGATGTGAGCATGATGCCCGCCGCCATATGCTCGGGCGGAGCGAACAACCTCCACCACATCATGCCGACGATGGCAACAGCCATAATGGCAGCCAGTCCGTAGGGATTTCCAGGACCATTGCCAGCGCCGATATACCAGCACACCAGGCCAAGCACGCCTCCGGCCACGGTGCCGAGAGTACGAATAACAATGCCGGAGACGAAGTCGGACATGAAGGGTTCAAGTGCCATCTGCGCCATGATCAGCGCCCACATTCCCTTCTCGCGGTAGTAGAAGCCTGCGGATGAGGGTATGACGGCAGGGACGGCCAAAGCAATTGTCAAGACCAGAGTGCGCAAAGCATGCAGGCCCTCGACGTTGGTGAAGAAGTTGATCAAGGCGAGGAAAACCACACTCGGTGTCCGACGTTGGCGGCCGGTCGGTCGTTGCATGCTTTCCAGCAGCGTGGCTGCGGTTCTGTCCACTTCTGCCTCGGTCTTGTCCTTGGACCGGCTGAAAAATCGATTCTTCTTCTCTGGTCTAGATATCGCCGACATGGTCCGGGTAAGATCCAGGGCACCAGGAGTGGTAGATGGAGGTTGATCCTGGGACAGGCCCAAAGACACAATTCGATTGAGGCCCTTGGGGAGCCATACGCGCTTTGTTCTTCTGGCCCGTTCAATCTCAACCACTCGATCCAGAATCGCCATGACGTCGTTGGAAATGTTGATTATCCGCTCTTGGTACAATAAACCCGACATCAGGCCAAGAAACGGAGGCGTACGATTATCGGCGTATATGACTTTACCTTCGGCATCGAAAAGGTGGGAGTGGGGAGCAATGAGATGCTCTGCGGCCGATTCCTGGAAATCCTCTAGCGCCTCTTGCAACGAGCTGCCGGCTCGTTCGTGCTCAAGTATCGTGTCGTCCTGAGGAACCGTAGATAATGCCTCAATGATAGCGCCAATGCCTTGGCTCAGGGCGTGCAACAAAGGCGTGGCACAAGATGTCAGCGCTTCAGTCGACTTGGCTATCATCTCTTCCGTATCAGGATGTCTCGTGGCATCGCGCAAGTCGGCTGCTTTGGCGATGTGATAGGCTAGCGGTTGCTGTTTACCGTCGGAATCTTCTAGCGCTGCGGCAGCTTTCGTGAGGGCCTCGTCTTTGGCAGCGAGCTCTTGCCGAGATATCGAAAGCTGCAGCAGGTCTAGCAAAGAAACCAAGGCTTGTCGTAGAGGTTTCTGGAGACTGTCGATGTCGTCGGGGCTCCATCTGCGATATGAGCAATCCAACTGCAGGAACTTGCCGGCCGATTCGATGCTCTTGTAGACCAGCGTCAACTCGCCCTTGTACTTTTGCAGCCGCGCCGCATCGAATCTGGCCCTTGCCTTGAAATGCCAGGCTTGAGCTTTGATGTAGCTGTCCATTTGACGCAAGAGGCTTGCCATGTCGCCGAGCATGATTTGTGATGTAGACTGTGGGAAGAGAAGCAAGTTGCACACGGCGCCAATTCCAACCGCGATCGCAGTTGGGAGGATCAGCGTTTTGGGTATTGTTCCTTGGAAAGTCGGGATAAGCGGCGCCGTGGTAAAGTATATATCTGCAACCACCATGGAAAACAATGTTACGAGAGCCAGATTCGGGGCGGCTACTTTGACGCGAGCCTACAAAGTCGCATCGTCAAAACCAAGGGAAGAATCCAGACGATGATGAGAGACCTTACCATGAAGTAGACAAACAATCCCAGCATACAAAAGTACGTGACAGACACTCGGGTATCGAGCATGAAGCCTTCGTAAATGGCTATCTGCGTGTATGTCCCTTGACCAGAGGCTTGCTCAGCATTGGTGGTGTTTTGTGGCATCGATTGCTGCAATTCCTGGTATCGAGCTTGCAAGTCGGCTTGAGGCCTCGTCGCGAGAGCGGCTTTCATGCTGATGACGCCCCAGGCCCAGCCAAGGGCGATTCCGACGCAAATCATCAGGCCGGCCATGACGTGAATGAAGACAACGCCGGATGGCGGCATGATAAATAGGACGATGCTGCAGCGACGGTGAGTGTCTGGCCTAGAAAGGCAGGGAAAGAGTATATCACCATCCAAAAAACGCGGCCTGGCCGAGGAGTCGAAGTGTATCGTCGATAAAGATGAAAAGCGTCAGGATCCAGACAGCCAGGGAGCATTTGAAGAGGATCTTGAGGTCCTTCGCATTGAAGTGATCCAGCCAAGCAGGCAGTTTCTTGGGATTGTTGAAGGCGAGGAAAGATGCCTCTTCATCGTCTGTGACATCGAGCTCTTTCGAGCTCTGCCAAAGACGCAGCATCTTTGGTTGTTCTGCGATGAGTTGGCTATCGCGGTTTGCGTCTGCGATGTTGTTTTTAGGTGAGAGAACCCCTGGGGTAATGGGCCAAGGGCATGACCAATGCCTTGTCGATCAGTAGCGACATTCAGCTCATTAGAAAGGCATCTTTGCGGCTAGACCCTTGCACAGATCTGCATAAAATCATTTTATTTGCATAAACGGGGGTCGGAAGGTAGAGCTGCCGGGCATAAAATAAAACCGGCGCCGTCCGTTGAGCTACCTCCATGTAGTCGCTCTCGCTATCGGCATCGTTCAAATCGGGTTCATGTAAAACTCCGAGCCCGATCGCTCGAGGCGGGTTTTGACAGCCTTGTATCGAGTATTTAAAACATGCGAGTCAGCTCCGAATGCCCAGTAGGATTGTACCTTTTCAAAGCTTCTAGGCAGGAGTTAAAGAGTCTAGTAGGCCGGAAGAATGAAGACCCGGGCCTTAATTCTTCCGGCGGCGGATCAGTCCTAGGTAATCTATTATTAACATGGCTCTGGCGAATAAAAAGTCCTATCTAAACAATCTATTTATAAATCACATCAAGTCCTAAATGCCAGGCACGCGTGACAAACTGCTCCTCTCACCTTTGATTGCCAATGCCATCGGCTTTCTCTATGCCCCTTCCAACTAGCTAAATATTATGTCGTGGCCACCCCCGAAAAAAAGCCCTCTGGAGATAGTTTCAGAGGCAGCACTGACGGCGGTCGCGTGCTGCGTCGTCACCCCCCTAGTGCTGCCTATTTTGGTAGTGAAAGGCGCCAACAGCTGGAGGAAGCAGTGGCTCAAGAAGAGAGAGAAAGAGCGAAGCCAACGAGAGCTCAAGCGGAAATGCTTTCAATCTCTAGACCGCCCTCGGACCAAGAAGAGCTCCGAGGGTACCGGACCCCTTTTCACCCGGCTTCCACCCGAAATCAGGCGTCGCATTCTTATCCAAGCATTTGGCGAGCGGACTCTCCACCTTGACCTTGCTTTTATAAGAGGCGGCGGCTCATCTGCGAAGTGGAGGTGGTATAGCTGTGTCTGCCATAGCGACAAACCAGGCCTGCATCACGCAGGAAGGCTTGCAAGGGGGAAAACACCCTGTGGTTATCATGGAGGGCCGTACGAGAGGGACCAGAGAAACCCATCGGCATGTCCCAGATCAGATCCAACACTTCCAGCTCATTCAGGGCCATGCCCCGATAATTGCCGCGTCGGGGCATCCGGCTGGCTGTTGACATGTCGGCAGGCGTAAGTACCCCTTCCGATTCGCATAGAGAAGCAGCTTTTTTTTTATTAAAGATATAGAGGGATCGGTTTACTAATATGTCTCAACGGCAGAAATCTTGAAGGGCTTGAGGTCCTCTATGGGACCAACACCATTCATATTGACACACGCATTCTTCTGCTTGGCCTCCATGAAATTCTATCACCCGAAAAATTGCGCTTTATGAAGGATCTCGAAATAAACGTATCTGGAATCATGGACGTCGCCTCTTACTTCAAAGGGCTTTCCAACGAAACTCTTCCTGGCAGCGGATCAGTTTTGTTCCCATCTCTACGCCGGTTGCGGTTCATTGTTTGCGGGAACCAATACTCTCCCCAGGAGGAAGTAGACAAGCTAGTACAAAGAATCCTATTGCCTAGCACAGAAGTCATAGTGTCCCACGATTATGGTCTGCCGTGGGATGATGAGGGAAATATAGAAGTTCGACTAGATGGTACGTTTCTTGTTTCTTTTTTTGGTTTTCGCTCAACGCAACTGACTTATATACAGTACTCTGATCTGTTGTCACATGTTCCTTCCCGTCCGTTGGCTGTCATCAGTTGCTGCAAGGACCTAATTGTTTCGGAAGATGAAGTTTCACAAGAGGTTAGTGTCTTTATGATAAACCAAGGCCCCATCGATAGAGGCAGAAAACCTTGAGCCCTCAAATCTAGAATGGTTCGTTTGCCAAGGTTCTGACGGCCGGGTTGAATCTTATCCTAAGTGCCGGACCATGATCGGTTCTAGCTCTATGTGTCGAAGTGTATTTTTTCTTCTTGTGCAGACTAACAACTTGTTGCTCCTATTTTACATATATAAATGACTTTGATACATCCCTCCAAATACCGCCAGATATTCCTCGCCAGAATGCTATGATACATCCTAATAGATTCATGTTCCCTCCTCTTGTGCCAGGCAGGATCTATTTCGCTGTTTTAAAAATGATTCGACGTGCTACGCATCAGTCTGGGTGGAGCTGTGTGTCTTAAGGATCCCTCGAGCTCAAGTGGAATTGGTATCTCGGGTTCGCGTTGTGGCATGTAAGACCCAGGGAGAGGGCGTTTTATCCCAGGTTCAAGCTCTGACCGCACTGTCCCATCAAGCTCATTCGTAGAAGGTTTTAGATAACCTCCAGGCCAGTAGCTGAGCTCAGTCTTATGTTGCTCGTCGTTTGGGGACACTGGGAGATTCTCTGGAGCGCGGCGGCGTTTGAGGACCCATAGAGCGGCGACTAGCAAAACCAGGAATGACACGCCTCCAACGACACCTCCAACGATTGGTCCAAGATTGCGTGATTTATGAGTCTCTGAATCGCTCATTGTTGAGTCCGTCACGGTGGGAGCGGGCATGGTAGGGACGGGCGTGGTTTGAGTAGTGTTCGTGCTCGATTCTTGGGTGGTCAGTCCTCTATTCACAAACTGACATGAAGGCACACCTTACTCACTTTTGTTGAATAAGGCTTCCAGTTGGGGGCTGGCCCAAGCCACTTGCTGACGATCCCTGGAAGTGTGAGATGAGAACAACATCTAAAAGACCACAAAATACTCACTTTGCAGCGTACCACTCTTGGACAATTTGGGGTGATTCATAAGGCTTGGCGTCAGGGTCGTACTCGTCCTTCCACTTCAGCTCAGTGAGGTCGAAAATGCCGATGCCATTGGGCCATGGATCTGGCGACTTCCAGGATTCGTTTTTTACACGCCATTCCCCAAGCCCACCGACTGATATCATCTGTCGATTTCCTATGCGGGCGCATCTATGGCGCGTCCGTATATCTGAGTCGACTCCAAACTGCCTCGGACAGAACCAGTAAAACCCAGGGAGAGAGAGGATGCAAATCTTCTGAACCCCGTAGGATAGGCCACGGCCTCCAAAGATGAAGCTAGAGGAATCACCGTTAGTACGATTACGATGTCATGTTAGAAAGCGTCCGTCGTCGCGAGCCGCCCTCAAAGCGATGCATCAGAGAGACGGGTGAAGTCTTGAGACTTACATTTCGTACGTTCCATTCGGGCTTTCGGCTCCAACAGCACAGAAACTATTTCGCGGCTCTGGCTCGGCTCCTATTGTTTTCTGATCATACCACATTTGGCTGACAGGGTCGTATAAGGTTACGTGAGTAAGGTTGTTGTATTCAGCTACGTCGGTCTCATTTTTGAAGGATCCACCAAACAGCATCGCCAAGGGGCTGTCAAGTAGCCCATCGATGCATATCGCTTCTCCAAACTCGTTTCTTCGACTGTTTAGATTCATGGTTCTGTTGATGTTTCTTCCCCACGTAGATTCTGTCATGTTATATGTCAGCACACCCTGGAATATGATCCATCTGTCGTCTTTGACTGTATCGCCGGCCGAGTAGCCGCCGAAAAAGAGGCCCAGGCCATTACAAGACACTGCCGCCCCATCTTTCCCTGGGGGGTGTGACTGATCGTTTGCTGAAGTGATCTTCCATTGCATGCCCTCCTTCCCAGCAGCTACCAAGACGCCCATGCTGTTATTTGCTCTGTCTTTTATCGAATAACCGCGGGCTGGTGTCCCCGCCCATCTGTATAGTTCGTTCTTGTCTGGGTTCGTCCACAGGATGAAGTTGCTGGCCGGCTGGATTTCAGCGGGGTATTCGGCATATCGGTAAAGGTTGTGCACATCACTAGGCGTCCATTTCGTGGTTATCGGGATTAATGTTGTGTTTTTGACTTTTGTTGTTAGCTTGCAGCCAGACCAAAACATAGGACCTTGGTTGATATACTAGCTGTAGCATGGTCACTCCCCTCGGCCTTTACACCATCGATATATTCCGAAACATCCCCGCCATCAACAAAAAGGTAATCGCCGAGAATCGCGACTGCATAAAATTAGCTTACTGGTATGGAAAATTAGGACGGGGTGCCGGACTGGAGTGATGTGCCCGCCGCCGATACAACGGGCCACCATCAGCGGCCGCAAGGCCACAGAGGAGACAAAACAGCAGCAGAATTTCACACAACATTGCTGCAAAAATTCAGGATAGAAAAACATGAGGTGATTTCAAGAAGTACGACAAAGTTGGGGGGATTATGAAGTGTCTACCGGCGCATCCCTTACGGCCTGCATGCAAAAGCCGTATTCAGGCGCCCCCTGCCCCCAACTTTGGGATTTCCAAAGTTCTTTTTATTCCTTGTTTATGGTGGTAATACAGCCTTGCGCGCATTTATTGTCTATACGAAGAATGCCAGACTGTGGCATAGCACCGACGCGCCATAAAATATCCGTCTGGGCACGTAAAATTGTTTCCAGATGCAACACAAGCAGCAGAGCAGTGGCGACTGGTCTCCTTTTTTATTTGGGACAAATGATAATCCTCAATAAATAATGTTGTCCGTCTTTAACGTGAGATCTTTTGGGCATTTGACCTCAATGACAATCAAGCAGCACCCGAACATTGTGTCAAAAATCCAATATACTTGGAACAGTTTTTCAAAAGTCCAATGCAATTGCAACCACAGGTGATCACGCTCATTAGAGCCAAGGTAACACGGAACTTTACTGAAACACCTTCAATCTTATAACATATGGGACATTGAAAGTCAGCTCGGAAATTACATGAAGCACGCGTAAAGTAGACACCACGGACGAGTTAGATAATGATGAAAAACTATAACAAGATATGTACAGGATTCTACGACTTCACCGAGAGCATTTTCTTTGTTGTCGCCAAGTTCCTTGGCACCAATCTGACATGCGTGAATGCTGGGGCAGCTTGGTGATTTCCCTTTGATAGCAATCCTTCCAACGGATCCCATGTAGTCGAGTTACACACATCACCAGCAGGTAAGACGCGGAAATGTGCGACTAGGTGGAGAAACACGGTGTAGAGAGCCTTGGAGGCAACATGGCTTGCCACGCACATCCGGCCACCCATACCGAAGGCAAATTGATGCCGATGGACATCCTCACCCTCAAGCCACCTCTCAGGGTCAAAGACGTCTGCGTCCGCAAATACATCCGTATCTTTAAAAGTTTCAGTCAGCTGAACTGTCTCGTTGCCTTTATCCTTTTGCTCTTACCTCTGGAACAAGCCCACGTGTTCAAAAACAGAAGGGTTTTTGGCGGAATGCCGGCGCCACTCCAGTTGACATCTCCATGAGTAGCTTTTGGCAGTGCGAGTCGCAGGACCACAAAGAATCGCCCGATTTCTTTAGTCAGGGCTTCTATGTAATCAATTCGAGTGTGTGCAACGTCAGGTGCTGACGCGATGTTGTCTCCAGCTTCGATGATTGATTGATACGCTTTCTCTTGGATGTCTTGCCTATTTGCCAACAACTGCATACCCCAGAGTAGTGAGCGTTTTGTGGTGTCTGATCCGGCCATCATGCTCATGCTGATACTCAAGAGTTCTCCCTCTGTCAATCCCTTGCTGTCGGGATCTTTCAGGACATTGCCTTGGATGCTTTCGAACTTGTCAGCGAAATGATTCGTTACTAGTCACATGGCCATACTCACCATGGTTTATCAACCCCCAAATCAATCTCTCCTCGCAAGTTCTTTTGCAAGAGAGCATGATAAGCGTAACGACGCTTTCCAATATCGGCCATAAGTTTTTCTCCCTTGGAAAATCCAAGGAGCTCGGCTGCCGAACTGAAAGGGCGCAGCAATGGGATGTAGTTGAGGTAGTTGCCAGAAACGTCGCGATATTTAGTAATCATCTCCTCGATGTATAGAATTTCGGAAAGAAGGATGTTGTTGTGCAAATCTTTGACGTCTTCGACACTTTTCTCACATTAGTAACGTACTTTCAGGTCGGTGACTAACAGAACATACCGTGTGCCATAGCTTAGGGTCAAGCTGAGATTCAAAGCAAATTTCTGGCATACATCAAGGACGTTTGTGGAATTCTGTGTTCCTCCTTTCGAGGCCGCAAGCAAGTCGTTAAGAAATGCTCGAGATTCAAGGTTCAAAATCTATTATCATCAGGTGCCCGCATTTTCTACCAAGGACTTGTAAAGGAGTATCATACTGGCAGGTAGCTCTCAACGCTTGTTTTGTTAAGTGCTGTGGCGGCAACCTTCCGTCGCCTTTTGCAGCTGTGGTCCCATTCACTTGTTCCAATGCTTGTCACAGCATTCCCTTTCTGGACTTTGCTATGCAAAACATAGAAACGGGGACGGCCGTTTGTTGCGTTGCGTTGCGATATGAAGAAATCTCTGGCCGCAGCAGCGCTATTGACGACAACGGTTGTCGTGTTCCCCAATTGGAGCTGGAAAACATCACCATAGCGTTTCGCCCACTGACGGTATTCTTCGGCCGGGATCTTACCACGCAGCGATGGAAGGCTTCCAAGCAATGGGTAGCCTCGGGGACCAGGCAAGTTCGGGATACGAGTGGAATAACGAACGAATTCATTGATCAGGATATAGATGAGCAGGGAAGAGATTGGAATGAACAATAACAAAAGAGCTGATCCGTACCCCAAACCCAAAACGCGAAGCGCATGATGGAATTGGGAACCAAGAGACATGACGTGGATTTGGGCAGTTTGAAACAATCGTATCATGTGTAGGCACCGCCAAGATCCTAACCTCGAGGCTGCCTTGGGATCTTCAAAGAAGCGTTGTATTGCTTGTTGACCACAGCACTGGTCCTGTATTGACTAGCTAAAACCCCTCACGTTTTGTTAGAAAACTTTATATCACGATACACAGAAGCCCATGCCTCAACTATCAGGCACGGGTTGTATTTATAAGCCCTAAGGCTCGAGGCTTGTCAATCCCTGCTCTGCGTGGGGTCTTCTGCGATGCGTCAAATATGGTGGTCCTGATAGGATCATGGCCTAATGGAAGTAAGGCGGATATATGGATTATAATCACGCAATCGCCGGCTTCGTAGTTCAACTTCCATCTTAGGATTGAGATCGATTTGTGGTACCCTGTCTAACTTATCCATGCCAAGGTGACCGAAATCGGATCTTTGTGAAGAAAAGTGCTGGTGAGGAGCTTCCACCATGGTCCATATGAGATCCAATCCTCTCAGTCGCATTCCGTTCGCTCTCTCTATGCTATCTAGTATAAGTGCAGAGATCAGAGACAGACTTAGAGATGTCATCTGAATCAGAACGACAGGGCCAGGCTGAAGCCCTTCGCCCCGAGATTTCAGAACCACAGGCATCCACAGTCCAGGGACAGCAGGATCAAGCCATTATTCTACGACCCCGACCTCGCTCTGGCCTTTTTTCCTGGCCATACGCTCTCGCTGCCGTAGGGTTCGCTATTCTTTCTACGCCGTTTGCTTGGTTACTTTCAGCAGAAACACCAATCGATCCAACAAACTATGCTTTACGAACGAAGACTGTTCTACAAACAACTCCTCTTATCGATGGACACAACGACCTACCATGGCTCTTACGAGTTGAACTTCATAACCGCATCCGCGACGACAAATTCGACCCACGGCAGAAGCTCCTCGGCCATACGGACATTTCTCGCATGAGACAGGGCCAAATGGGTGGCCAATTCTGGAGCGTATATGTCCATTGCGATGCTGCGCAAAAGCACTTTGACGACCCTTCCGTAAGTTCCAATCAACAGCTACATCTTATATTTTCGGTTGGTTGACTGATTTATCCTCCAGTGGGTCGTTAGGGATACGCTTGAGCAAATTGATGTAGCGAAACGATTCATTTCCGAATATCCCGACGTCTTCCAGTATTGCACCACGCCATCATGTGTGCGCCAGGCTTTTGCCAAAGGACGCATTGCCAGCATGCTTGGCATCGAGGGCGGGCACCAACTTGGAGGCTCAATTGCGGCAATTCGACAAGCATACGACCTCGGTGTGAGATATATCACGACTACTCACAACTGTGATAATGCGTGGGCAACCGCGGCGTCGACAGTAGCTGCCAAGGGGCCTGGGGCAGATCGAGGATTGACTCCGTTCGGTGCAGCTTACGTCAAGGAGATGAATCGTTTAGGCATGCTTCTGGATCTCTCGCATGTGTCTCATCAAACAATGAGGGACGTGCTGTCACTCACCCGTGCACCTATCATCTTTTCCCATTCTGGCGCATACTCTGTATCCCCCCATCTTCGCAATGTGCCTGACGATGTATTGCGGAGCGTGCGCCAAAACGGGGGAATAGTCATGGCAGTGTTTGTCAATCGCTTTTTGAAGATGAAGAATCCAGATTCTGCTACCATTCACGACGTTGTTGATCATATCTGGCATATTGCTGAAGTCGCTGGATGGGAGCATGTAGGGATCGGATCTGACTTTAGCGGAACCCCGTTCACTCCAATAGGGCTCGAGGTATGATGATATGAAGTCATACCATGAAAGCAAAGGAAGCCGCTAATGACCTATCTCTAGGACGTCTCAAAGTTCCCGAATCTCATTGAGCTTCTCATGGCGCGAGGAGCAACAGACGATCAGATTAGACTTTTGGTAGGAGAGAATTTACTCAGAGTTTGGGCAAAGATTGAACAAAGAGCCAAGGAGATCCAAGCGGAGGAGCCACCTGTCGAAGAGGAATGGGAGGGGAGGAAGTGGCAGCATGGGTACAAGAGCTCGCCTTACATGTTTCGGGAAACACGTGAAATTGCGATCAAAGAAGATTGGGGGCAACCTCATCAGTTCAATGTCGCCACCAAAGGAAGTAATGACGGAAAGAACAAGGAATAGGCCTGGTTTCGAGTGGGGAGGTGTCATAATCATTCTTGGGCGTTCTATGATGGCCATCCAATGGCGAATTATACACTTCGAATGTTTCATTACGAATCAGAATTTGATGAACCATGGGGCCCAGGGATCTGGTAACTAGTACTATTCTTAGGCTAATTTGTTCCCCGTAAGTTTGACTTGGAAAAGAAGCGATATCGGTACGAGAATTGTCTCTGCTCATATGGATCCTCCCGATAACTGGTCATATGAAGATCCACAAACCTCCTGTCATCCCCGGGAATAACACGAGGCGAGATAAGAAACTGTGGAGGAACGTAGTAACGCTACCGCTGCCATGGGTAGTTGTCTCATTATTGTCCGGATGGTGCAATTTAGAGTTTACCAATCGAGGGCTCCGTTCGTGATTGCGACATAGAACCCCAGCAAGAAGTGATTGGAATTGCAGGGGTGTTCTGATTATACAAAACCCAGGCCTCATCCCTCAGGCACGGGTTTCGATTCTCCCTCCAAGGAGTATTCAACAAGTTGCTAGGACATGAAATCGAGTGTTGCGGGGGTAGTAGAGCGGGCGGTATTTAAGCGGTTTTCATCCCCGGGAGTGGGAGACATTTCCGTCATGCTGAAAACAACATATCTTCACTTATCAGTCTATATACTTCAATTTCACCAAATCTTTGATATTTATGATGTCTGATAGTGGCCAAGACGAGAAAACCCTGCCTCAAGCGGATAAAAATGGCACTTCCCAAGTCGCCGTCCCCTTGGAGGCTACAGAGGCCTCAGAGCAGGCTCTCTTGCGGCGTCTGCTTCGAAAGACTGATTTGTTGGTAATGCCCGGCTTATGCTTGGCTTACTTCACAAACACTCTGGACAGAAGCAACCTGGGGAATGCTAAGACCGACACTATTGTGGAGGATCTACATCTAGGCGCCAACGAGTTCTCCTTGATGCTGGTGGTGTTTTACATTCCATATGCCCTTCTCAATATTCCATGGTCGCTTCTTGCCAAGAAGTTCAACCCAGCCGTTATCATTCCCCTTGCTGTTTGTCTGTGGGGTATCGTCACCATCGCATCTGTGGCCTCAAAAAACGGACGACACTTGATGGCATGCAGAGTTCTCGTGGGTGCGATCGAGGCAAGCTATAAGCCTTGCGAAGTTTATTACTTGAGTCTATTCTATACCAGGAAAGAAATGAGCTTTCGTGTTGGTATGGTTGGCCAGTTTGGGTTCATCGCGGGTGCTGTTAGCGGGCTGATCAGCTGGGGTGTCTTTCAATGGAACGGAAGTCTTCGGGTAAGCAAGTCTATATCGTGGCGATTATGGTGGTTTGTCTAACACTGTGAAACTCAGGGGTGGCAATACCTATTTATTATTGAGGGTGCCATTACAGTTGTTGTTGCTGCATGGCTTTTCGTCTGGGCTCCAAGAAGTCCGCAAAAATGCCGATTCTTCAGCGCCGAGGAGAAGGCATTGGCTCAAGCTCGACTTGAGCTTGACTCACAAGACCAGGACAAATATTTTCGTTGGGACGAAGCAATTGAGCAACTCAAGATGTGGCAGACTTGGGTCTTTGCTTTCATGGCCTTGCTCTATGGAATTGGCGTTGCCAGTAGCTCGAACTTCTTGCCGGTAAGTACAGATACTTCCGTTGTCTACTCTTTTCACTACACTGCCTCCTCCTTATGTTATGATTGGATCGGCTACATGTTGCCAGCATAATGGCTAACAATTTTTATACTAGACCATGGTTAAAAGACTCACGAAGAACACGGTTCAAGCCAATCTTTACACAGTCGGTCCCAACCTCGTGGCTTCCGCCGTGCAGTTGACCATAACGTGGCTCTCGGACCGCTACCAACAGCGAGCCTACTTCTCCTGCGGCAGCGTTGTCGTGTCAATCTTGGGATGGATCCTCCTAGGCACGCTTGATCTGGTAAAGAGCCCCAAGGCTGGCTACTTCCTCACCTATCTTGTCCCATGCGTGACTTTCATCCCCAGCAACCTGGTTCCTGTTTGGCTTTCCTCCAACACGCCCACCACGACTGGCCGAGCAGTGTCCCTGGGCCTCAACTATACCTTCATGAACCTGGCCGGAGTTTTATCTTCAGTGTCATTCCGCGACAACGAGGCACCTGTTCACCAAACAGCCTTGATCCTGGCAGGAGCGACCCAAGCTGGGTTTGCAGTAACTGCTCTGGCCATGAGGTATTACTATGTCCAGATGAATAACAAGCTGGACAAGGGGTTAATCCCGTATGCACCAGGGATGTCACGCCGCCCCGAGTATCGCTACGCGGTGTAGAGGTCTCGCGCAGTATTAATTTTCCTAGCCACCCATGTTGCTGAGTATTGGCTGCGGCTAAGTTTCGTTTTGTTTCCCGTTGGAGTGGGTTGATAGGGCACGAACACTTCAGTCAGAATGGGAATGAAGGTTGATATACGGAGCAACCAAAGAGTTGTATCTTCGCGCTATACTTGTCTTCTTTCAATGCATCCTTCTCTTGTTCCTTTCAAGCGCTGAATGAGTCACGACGCGTTAAGCCGCGTCTCATTGTTTACGTGCCCTGAGAGTAAGACACACTTGAGCAAATCTGGCATGGTGGATTCCTAGACTTCTACTTACTACCTCCCTACCCTATAGTTCGGCCAGTAACTGTCGAAATGACGTGTTTAGCTTTCACCAGTCATTATAAATTGCCCATATAGAGCTTCAATATACTCTGGAAAGGTTTGATCACTCTAGGATAAACAAGCCCGGAAACTCTCTATTTCTGTCTGGTGGTTGAATAAAAGAAGTTTTGCTGTATCTATAATGAAATGCAATTAGTATAAGTTAAGTGTTCAAGTACGTGGAAGATAAGCATATTTCATCAGGCAAAGTAAACCGAGCTGCTATAAAAATCTATATTTATATATAACAAAATACACTTAATAAGAGTTAATAAATTTCTACCTTACTTAGCTAGTATTTAAATAATTATTATATAATAGTATTAAAATATTATAATAAAGGTCTAATTACTTAACTTTATACTTATAATAAGTTTACTTTATATTAAGGATTTTATTTATAAATATTATTAATCTTAATAAAAAGATAAATATAAATAAATATAATTATACTTTTATCTTATTAACTTTAAAGAAAATAATTAATATTATAATTATTAAGTAGGCTAAGGCTCCTAAGAAAAAGAATTCCCTGAGGAGAAAGGGGGGTTCCAAAGTCAAAGCCAATCCCAAGGGAAATGCTGTTTCCAGGAGTAAGTCTAATGCTAGGGGTAAGAGTGACCTCAAGGACGTGGCTCCTAAAAGAAAGGATGCTCCTGTGGCTAAGGACAAGGCTGGCCCTGCGCTGGGGTGTCGGGGTATTTCGTGCCAACTCCCCCAATTCAGCCTCGGGAAGGACAGCCTTGGGAGAGCCATATTCAGAGGTCCCCAAGATTCTAATAATAAGGCTGGCCCTCCCAATGCTGGCCCTGCTAAGACTGGCCCTCCCAAGACTGACCCTAAGTTGAAGTGTCGGGGTTCTGATTTAGATTCGGATTGCAGCAGTGAATCCGAATCGAAAACCGCAGGAACTGGCGACCCGGGTGCTGGTTCTGGGTTGAATAGCCAGGGAAATCTGTTGAATTTGACTCATCGCCCTAAACCAAGTGTCGAAGGCGGTGACGGCAGTGGTGGTCATGGCTCTCCATCCGAAACTGAAATAGATTCGCTCCCAGGACTCACCTACTCTGGATCAAACCCTTTCTACAGTCCTGGACAAACACCACCAAGAGAAGATAAGGTTCCATTGGACCCCAACCGTCGGAATCAGATCCTACACGAGTATGGTGATAATGAGCACAGCTTCTACCAAATGACTTGGCCTGACGTCTACAGGCCACTTCCTCCAGACACGAAATATATTGGGCTGAAGTTTGGCGATGGCGATGATGGTAGAGCTGGCGACTATGATACTCACACTGGTTCGACATATTCCTTCAAGGCTAGTCAAGGGCAACCAGCAGGCGATGCGGTAAAGATAGGCCTTTGGAAGGCGAAGTTGAAAAAGGCTGAACTGACGGGAGGCCCATCCCCTGAGCCCATTCCTGAAATGAGTCTTAGCAACGACGATGGGATGGACACACCCAGTTCCAGAACCCTGGACAATACAACAAGTAGCAGACAATATGTAAGGCCCCAAGCCTCTGTCTTACCTTGGTTTCCAGGACAAACATGACTAACTGAAGCCACAGTGCTGACATGGGGGATAATGTAAAAAATCACATGAGTGGAGAGGACGGAACAGACTTTAGGAAGGGAACTAACCGGTTGACAAGGATGTCCAACTGGGCACCAACCTATAAACACGAGATGGCAACAGTTGGGAAAACTCCAGAGGAAGAGAAAAAGAAATTAGAGACGCCTGAGCAGGCGGAGGAAAAGAGAAAGAAAGCGGAATTGGCGAAGGAAAAGAAAGAGGAAAAGAAAAAAGAAAACACGAAGTTAGAGGGATTGGTGAAAAATGCAATGGCTGCACACTCAGAGAAAAAGAAAAATGGAGGGGAACCACAGCCTAACCCCCCCAAGAACAAGGGAGAGGAAACAAAGTCGGAAATACCAAAGGAAGACGGGGATGGCTCAGAGTCTGAATAATCAAAGGTGCTAGAGAGACCAATAGCTAAATTTATGTTAGCAGCATTGTCACATTGATGCCAGCTCTTATATTAAAATGTCTTGAGTATCTAACTATACCTACATCATCTAACTTGCTGTAACATTCATTTCTTAGGGAGTCTCTTTTTAAGCTTGATGAAGGTGGGGTGCCGAAACAGCTGGGTCAATAATACCGCCTTCATCCCCGAGGAGCACATGTAAAATCAGAAGCTCTATCAAAAACACGTCAAGACCGATGCCACACTGCTTATTATTCAACTCGTAGGCTAGCAAGGAAGGTAAATGACCAAGGCCTAATCTAACTCTTGCTCATCAAGATACCGCCGTGGCGCGTGTGTCTGGTCAGGCTGGTAATTCCAGCTCTGTGTATCTTCATTAAAGGATACGTGGTAACATAACTGGCTGCTGTTTTGTCGCAACGTATTACCTGAGTATCTGTCTCTATACCAGTCAAAGGCGAGGTCTCGAGCCTGAACCTGAATCCTAATATGTTCAATAAGATCCCCGTGGGCCAAGAGATCATTGTAGTTGGTCAAAACAAACGTATCTCTCTTAGGACGGGTTTCATCGCAGCAGCTCTCTGACTTGGACTGGATCTCCTGAGCTCGTTCAAGGAAATCGAAACACGTAACCATCATTTCAGCGACGGGATTGAAGCCCTCAACAACAGAAGCTTGGCTAGTGCCCCCAGATGTTGTACTTGCTGTCCTCTTTGGGTATCTGAACTCGTTGTCATCCATCTGAGACATTGCTATTGATAAGTCTTGGACACGATTTATAATACCACCAAGATGATGAGACATGTCCTTATAGACTATATCAAACATTTGGAATACCGTGCCAGCGGGCTGTTGATCGCTGTCCAGTGGCTTTATTTGATCAAGAAAGGTGTCGGCAGCAGTTTTTGCCGCAGGAAGCGTGTCCTCGCGCACATTCTGCAGGTGCAGAATGCGGACATGATGCTTGTCATCTTCAATAGCGAGTAGGACATCGCGGTCTTGTATTTCCACGTCAACTGAATCTGGGTCGGCACCGCCATTTCCGTGGGCCGCTGCGTGTGTGGCACTTGCAAACGGGCCGACATCGTTTGGGTGAGGGCGACCATCTGGCGCTGCAGAGGGAGGTGATGAGGGGCTTTCGCCTGCCATGTTGGGAGGCAATAAGAATATTATGTAGCCTAAATTAGGCTTCTGGTTAGTCTTGCGCTGGTCTGATGAATATTTGGTCGGTTGCTTACCTGGGATTGAATTGGGGTGTGGTGGTCAACTCTCGCTGTTTCATATGGCCATGGGAGGGAGGGTAAGGTAGGATAAATGTCTGAGGGAGGGAAGGGAAGAAGAAATGCGTCGGGCGGCACGAGGTTTTAAATTGGAAGCTAGGCGAGAATTAGTGTTGAGGAGGAGATGGTTCTGCCTCTTTTTATGGGGCCAGGTGTTTGTTTGTCTGACGCGCACTTGCTTATTCCATGTCATCAGTGATGTCGACGGAGAGAAATCTGGGAGTGAGCTTCGGTCTTGGTCAATGATGGAAATCACAGTTGGAAGCTGGGAACGTGAGTCAACAAGCCAGTCATTTAAGGGCACATGAAGGGTGCTGTAGTGACCGTAGCGGAAGAATTCTTGTTCTATATTCGATAGGTAATCGTTATCATTCTAGAAAAGCAGAGGGTTAGAAGAGCATCAGCTAGATAATCATTCATTGCTAGTGGCAAACTCTCCCTTGGCAATCTTATCGCTTAACTTTTTGTTTGCCTTGAGATAGGTTCTTAGATTTGACCTTACCTCACCTATTAAATTAGTTATAATGTGACTAAATACTATACTTCTAGTAGTATTTAAGTGTATCTTATCCCCTGACTTTTTATTATACTTTATAGTATTTATCTCTCTGATTTTGTTTAGGTAGTTAGTGCTAGTATAATTAAGATCTAGATATTTCGCTCCCGCTGCCTTAGCTGCCGCCTTAGCTATATCTACTTAGTCTTTGAGATTTTCACTAGCCTTTCTATTATAAAATATATGATAGGCTAAAGAAGTAATAATGATCTATAATGATTGTTAGTTAGTAATGTGATTAGGTTAAGAAGACTAAATGTGTAACTTATAGGAGTTCTACTAGCACTTTTAACCTCTTTAGCTAGCTTCTTTATATTATTTTAAAACTAACTTAGAGAGATACTAGTATCTACCTTTTAGTTATTCTATCTAAATTAAATTATAATAATAAGGTGGTATTTATCTTTATTATCCTTAATAGACTAAATTGCTTTATCCTACTAGCTATTAGTCTTAAAGGTGATAGTAGTTATTCCTCCTTTAGAGTGAATCACACTATCTGTACTATTTTGAATATTATTAATAAGCCCTTCTCCCTAGCTGGTTCCCTTGTTTATAGTTGAATCACTGGTCACGATAAAATATGCCGGCTTTTCGGCATGGGTATTAATTATCGGCTGCGCCTGGGTTAGAGCGGCAGCCAGACTGCAGAAGAAGAGGCTGAAACGTATGGTTGATATTGATAGGAGTCTAATAGCGGGGGTATGAGAAAGAAAACGCTGGTTGAGGAGACTATGTCTAACTTTTCAGCTCTGCAACCTCATATATAGTAATTGCCAAGACTTTCTCAATTCACTTTAATCCGCCTTACCATTGCATCTGCAAGCTGCACAGGTGGCCGTACGATCAATGCGTTAGACGAAATTCCTCCTCTAGGCATAAGGGCTCATCCGGAAGCGACGACACGCTGTTATGCTCCACCTCGCTTAATCGAGCTCCTTTTTCAGAGCAGAAGTTAGGAAAGGAGGATGCTTCTTGCGTTCAGCTTGAAGCTCAGTCCCCGCTGGACACCTCGGGATATCCTAGCCAAAAGTCCCTTGTTACACCACTTAAAGCCCAGCTTGGCGCAGATTTATGGGCCATGATGGTATTGCCCCATATCGACGTTATTCGTGAATGCAAGAATCGACTCCCTGGGACGCTCGGGTCTCAAAAGTTCGCTTCCTTTCAGCTTAGCTCACTGCCAGCTCAATCTGGCCGATCTGGGAATATATATGATCGGCGACTCTTGGTAAGATTTCGCACTTTGGCTGACTCTCACCAACGAAAAAATAAAAAAAAGGTGGTGCGCGAATTGTGATTCCTGTTTCGCATTCTCCGAGAAGCCAGAGCAGAGGACTGGTCATATAGGGGGAGATAAGTCAGCAAATGCCGATCCTGCCTTTTCTTCAGTTGTTTGTTCACGTTGGGCTGAATACTGCATAGATTCAGCAGATGCCGCTTGCAGATGACCTTACAAGACACGAAGATGGAACGGAACATTGCCACAGTCATCTCTGTTACATTGTGATACTAGCATATGGCGTGTATTTGTGTAAATGGCTGAGTTCAATTAACCAAACACGGGCTCCTGCTTGGCCCCCTCGCAACCGGCCAGATATCCGACGCGGTCCTTGGTGTAGAACTCGACCCCGATCTTGTTACCCAGGCTAGCTGCGCCTCCATCCAAGCCGCCGGCCTTGACGCAGGTCACGCCCGGCATGACCTCGAGCTCAGTGTATAGACTGGAGCCGCAGTTGGAGCAGAAGAAGTGCTTGTTCACCTTGCCCGAGGCCCCGATGGCGTCAAAGCTCTTTGGCGTGCCTGGAATCCGAGATGGATCTTTGTCAGCGACGGAATTCGATTTCCGAGTGTCATGCAAAGGCAAAAGCGATGGCCATCGCGGCTTAGTGTGTGAGAAGAGGGAGGAGAACATACCCTTTGTCACTTGGAAGGCAGTGCGAGGCACAACAGCGTTGGAGGTGAAAGCGCCTCCGGTCCACTAGGAACAAGCAAGGAACATTTCTGTTAGCGGAATCAGGGGAGAAGGAGGCTCAGAGTGGCCATTTACCTTTTGGCAGTCAATGCAATGACATAAAGCTGTAACGGCAGGGTCCCCTACATTCCCCAGATGGTCAATCCAGGTACCTTACTGGCTACTAGCAAGCCGATCGTTGACGGGAGTGCAACTACCCGAGGTACCATGAATACCCATATCCATATTAAAATAAAACACCCCAGACGAGAGATTTCAAATTGCTACATTACTTGGCCAGCATTTTAATAATTGAGTCTTGGTTTCCTCCAGGCTCGCCAAGGGGCGTATCACGTGATGAAGTGATGGCTGTTGCTTGCGTAGACTTTCTTAGTGCAGTGTTTTAGTGGAGCGGTGGTTGAAATTAGGTAATTGCCTCCTGAGTCTTAAACTAAACCCTTGACCTCACTTCTTTTCTCCCTTGGATCGCAACTACTCACCATCCATTGTAAACCGATCCGGGCGAGTGTCTACTTGAATCTAGAGAACTCTTGGTAACAGAACAATGTAATTTCTTGATGGATCAAGACCAATTCGTTTCCTCCCGTTTCCCAAACCGCCGCCGAGCTACACAGGCATGTGTTCCTTGCCGAACAAGGAAGACAAGATGTGACGCCGCACAGCCGAAATGTGGCTACTGTGCCCAGCACAACGTGGAGTGCGTATACCGCGAAGCTCAACAGCCGCGTATCGACCACGGCACTCAAGTTATCCTGGAAAGAATTCAGCTCCTGGAGGACCGCCTGACCTCTGTACAAATTGTGGATGCTCCCTCAGCAGCGTCCGTTCTGCCGTCTCGCTCGACCCAGGTTCAACCTCCCCAAGATACTGAAGCAGAGGCAGAGGGACGGATAGACTCATCTCACACCGCAAATGCGAATCATGTTCATAACTGGCCAATCGTCCGGCAGCTCCTGTCCGACGTCCCCGGGGCTGAGGGCCAGCTTGCTGGAGATGCCACCGACATTTTCTTCGAATCTCCAACCCAGATGCGAATTCCCCCTTCATCATGGAGGCTTTACGAACAAAACTCCTCCGTTTCTGTTTTAGAGCATCAGCGCCTCATTGACATTTACTTTGCAGAGGTTAACGTGATCTTCCCGTTGCTCTCTTCCGACGACCTTCACCGGATCCATGGCCGAGTGGTAGCAGATGACAACGTTGAGTGGCAAGAGACAAAGACGTATGTTCCTGTTGGCGAGTATGCTTTACTTCTGCTCGTGCTCACAATGGCTACATATGTTTCCAAGGGTTGCAACAAGGTTCTGCTGTCACTGAATCCGATGCCGGATGACCCCCACGAGGATTTGCTGTGGAGCAAAGCGGTACTCCTGCTTGGACCTGTTTCTTCGGAGATGTCAATTGTAGCGGCTCAATGCCTCATGTTGGCTAGGTGCGTTCTGGTGAACCCGCATTGATTTCCTCCGCTCTCCGCCCAGCCTTCGTCTTGGCCTTTGCTAATTTTGAATAGCTTATATCGAGGCGCGAAGGGTCGCGTGGCTGAATCTTTTCACTGGAGTCATTTGGCTGCCGTGAAGTGTGACGCGTTGGCTCATTCTTACATACGTGTCAAACGTATCCACCCGCCAGATGAGTTCGCCCGCTTATTTTGGGTTGCTTATATCTACGAGAGTGATTTCGTCTCGGAGGTTTCACTCAACCAGCCCTCGGGGATCGTTCGCTACGAGGAGCTGATTCCGTATCCCACTGTCAAAGAGCTCGCTGGCGATAGAGCATCTGCCGAATCTGTAGCGATCGCTCGACAGGAGGAGCTCGTTGCATTCCAAATCACCACCAACGCCTCCATTAGACGCTTTCTGAACCGCGTCAACAGCACCGTCTACAGCCCTACGGAAAATCTACATCACCATGGGTCTGATTACGCTGCTTGGCTTCTGCGGTTGACTGCAGATCTCTGGTCCCATCATGCGGCTGTCTACAACAACCTGCCCGAATTTCTGCTAACGAGCTATCAAAACGATGCGCCCATCGCCGACTCGCCCACGGCACATATCGAGGGGCTGCTACCAAGAGGCAACAATCCCTGGAATATCGTTCGACTGAAAGGTCGGTATTATGCCGGCCAATACATAATCCACCGGCCCTTTGTAGAGTATGCATTGCTCAACACGGATCGACTCGAGTCGCACCCTGCAAAACACTCCATTCTTAATGGCTGCATGATGTGCATTGAGGGCTGCGCGGGATTCATCCGTGTCTTTAACGTCGACCCTGCCAACAGTATCACTGGTCTTTTCGCTGGTGGAATGGTGTAGGTCATGGCCCTGACAATTGTTATTTCTTCTTGAAAGCACACTGACCAGCGCTCAGAACATTCACCATGATTACTATTTTGATGGTTTCGACTATCACACCGGCAATGAGTAGCATAGTCCCGCATGATGTCGAGGAGTCTATCATCACTGGAGTCCACAACCTTCGCCGCTTCAGCAACAGTGTTAGAGAGTTCTCATGGCATTTGAAAATCTTGGAACGTTTGGATATTTCACGGAAGGCCAGACTGGCAGGTAGTAACGTATGACTGGAATAAGAGAACTTTAATTAGGATTTGTCCGCATAGCACTTCACTTGGTGCAAAAGGTTACAGGATGACAATGTTATTGAATGGTGGTCTTATGCTGCTACGGGTACAGGTTGCTGGCTCTCGATCGCCTTCTTTTGCTCTTCCGGAGAGAGCTCAAATACACCGACACCAGACACAGACTTGTCTGCGCTGATCACCGCGGACTCGGACGTCTTCTCGGCTTTGATAACCTTGCCCTCCAGCCTCTTATCTTCCGGTGTCATGGGCGCATAAGTGCCCATGAGCTCATTCAGTCTCTCCCTCTGATGGCAATTCTCATACTTCCAACTCGCGGCCAGCTCATCCAATTCCTCAAAAGACTTGTCTTTGAAGTAATCAGCCCACTCGGGGACCAGGTATTCTGCCAGAAGGATACCTCTGATCGGCCGGAAGACCTGCATGTGCATGCGCCATTGCCAAGGGTACTTTTTGTTGTAAGGTGGCTGTACATTATCCTCAAACCATTTGTGGAGTGGCCCGAAGAGGCCGTCTTGGAGGTGGGCGTCGTCGTATGCCCACGAGTCGACGGCCAGATCCCTCTTCTTTTCGATGATGGGACCGAGAAGCTTGAACCAGGCTGAGTCAGGGGCTAGATACATTAGTCCCATGACGTTGATGTCCTTATATGACCAAATAGACCATGCTACTGCGAGTTAGCTGAATGAATGTCTCTTATCTGTATAGATCATGACCAACCAATGCTTTCATCGCTGTAGATGGCGAGCTGCCTCTCGAGCATATCGTAGCGCTCATTGTTGTGGAGTTCCCAGTCAGGGTTGTTCTCCCTTCGCTCGTATATAGGGCCGAATTCACCTTCGACACAGTCAGAATGATTTTGCCCGAGGGGGTTTCGTGGCCCTGATCCTACCATTCCAGATGGGGACATTGTGCTCCTTCATGAAGGCAACCTTTCGATCGTACATCCTTCGAATGTACTGTTCTTGATCCTTGTGGCCTTGGAATCTGCCAATTCTATTCGGGAACCCAAAACCGCAGTAATCGTGAACCGCGTACACTGAGTTCGGGAAGACCTTGTCGAAGCCGGTGAAGTCCATGCTGAAACTGGTGGAAAAGGTCAGCCTGGATGTCCCAGTAACAAAGGGGTACCTAACGCCCTGCTACTTACGTATTGCCTTCGAGGAAGAGGATGTGCTCGGGGTCGACCTTGCGGATGGCTGGGACGATGCGGTCGTAGAAACTCAACAGGCGGGTCCATTCCGAGTCTGCAGGTTCATTCATTGGATTGTAGCCAGCTACCCAGGCGTTCCCACGGTAGCGCTTCGCAATGTGCTCCCAGAGATTGACCGCACGATCTTGGAAATGGATATGGTCCCAGAATGCGGCGTGACCGGTCGGGTTGTCGCAGTGCCAGTCCTGATTTTGGCCACCAGGGAGAGCATGCATGTCGATTATCGTGTAAATTCCGTGTTTGGCGCACTTTCAGTTGTCAGCTGGAGTCCACGCATCGTGCTCAAGAGAAGGAATACATACAATGTCGATTACACGATCAACGTGCTTGAAGCCTTCCTCCTTGATCTGGAAGGGCTTCATATCGTCTTCAAAGTGGTGATAGTTCAGACATAGGCGAACGCAATTGAAGCCTATGGATTTTAGGAAGGCGGCATCCTCGTCTGTGAAGAAGTATTCGAGGAATTTGTCGAAGAAGAACTCCGTCTTTTCCTCACCAAGCACCTTTTTTAATGCGTGTCGGATCTGATGTTCACGGCCTGGAAATCCGTTCATGAAATTTTCCATCATCATCCATCCGCCGAGGGCAGCCTGAGCGATTCTTCATGTTAGTGCTTTCTATTCGGTCTGAGAAAAGGGGGAGAAGAGGGTCGTACTCCTCTGAGAAGGACTGGGTTTCCCTGCGTATCGACGATGCGACCGCCATCAGTTCGGAGCAGTCCGTTCATAGTGTAATTGTGGTCTGAATTTCTTGACTGTAGGCCTGACGAGAAAAGCTGATTACGAGCACTTGCAAGGCTGATGTCCAGCCTTTCTATATACCCGGCCCCTGTGACGTACCATTGCATGCCCAACTAGTTGCTTGACCCAGGCATTGATGCAGGAATTGTAATTGACCAATCGGCTAAACCGGACCTCAAGATGAATGGATTCAGCTCAGACAATCCAATTCTCATCAGCATCACAAGACATGCTGACTCGAGGCAGCTCATACCTTTGAGTCCTCGACCCACCTTCGGGGCATCTAAAATCACTGCCCCGATATGCGACTTTAGCCGAGACCAAGACTTTGGCTGGGGGAACATCGGGGCTTAATTTTAGCTCCCCCGACACATGTTCTGATTCGCTGCTCTCATGGGTCCCCGTTGCTCAGTGCCGTTATGGCGCCCTAGAGTTTGAACTACTGAGTGGAAAATGGGAAGACTTTGTTGCCTCCCCCCGGAGATGTCATGCAAAAATCTCCTCACTTTGTCCCCAGACGATGGAAATCCCCGCATGGACGCTCTCGACTCCGCAATTGAGCTCCAGCTGGTCGATGTGTGGGGATGTTCATTTGGTTCGCGTGAGTCGAGCATCCTTGCACCCGATTTGTCGGGATGGTCCATGGCTCTGGGAACTCTCTGCTTCAGCTCGTGACCTACAGCCGGTCGAATAGATGCTCTCAAACTTACTCAATCTATTGGAATAGCCGCAAGACTTTACGTATACCGGTCGTCTATAAGATCTCACCCCTTGCCGCTTCGTCCTGTAACGAGGATCACACTGCAGAGGCTTCTCAGGACAAAACATAAACACTCTGCGTCCGAGTAAACCTAGACTTTCTTCTTCTACTTACACTGCCGCATCCCTCTTCTCTGATCCTTTGAGATTATCCGCCTTGGGATCTGAAATATGGCCCTCACAGCCCTTCGCAACCGCCTCCCGGCCCCTCGATATGACCAGCTTGCTCGACAGGCGAAACGTCAGGCAGCCGAAACCACAGCCGTATCCCAGGCACCCGGTCAAGAGCCTTCACCAATCAACGAGCTGGCATCCAAGGCACCGGCCTGGTATTCCTCTTCCTCTCGTCGAAAGCTATACTTCCTTCTCTTCCCTGCCTGCGTCGTGTCGTACGCGACGTCCGGCTACGATGGAAGCATGATGAACAGCCTGCAGACCGTCTCGTACTGGGACGACTTCTTTGGCAACCCCCGCGGCTCGTCTCTAGGCCTCATGAGTGCCATCATGGCGCTCGGCAGTGTCTGCTCAACTCCAATCGCCCCCTGGGTTGCCGACAAGTACGGTCGCCGGTGGGGTATCACCGTCGGCAGCATCATCATGATTGCAGGTGCCATTCTGCAATGCGAGAGCACGTCATACCCTATGTTTGTGGGTAGTCGTTTCGTCCTTGGTTTCGGATTATCCTTTGCCACCACTGCTTCGCCTAGCATGGTTTCTGAGTTATCTCATCCCAAGGACAGAGTGACGATAACAGCCATTTGCAATACATGGTAAGCCTTGAAGAGAGGCAGTTTTCCCATTTGATCTGATCAGGTGCTAATCTTTCTGCAGCTGGTATCTCGGTAGTATCGCGGCTGCGTGGATCACGTACGGAACGAGAAACATCCCCAACACCTGGTCTTGGCGCCTTCCGTCTCTTCTTCAGATGGCTCCCAGTATAGTTCAGCTTAGCGCTATCTGGTTTCTTCCCGAATCTCCTCGGTGGCTCATTGCCAACGGTAGAGGAGACGAGGCTATGGCAGCTTTGGCTAAATACCACGGCGATGGGGAGGAATCCGAGCTAGTAAAGCTTGAGTATGCCGAGATTCAGGTGGCTATCGAGTATGAGAAGGGTATGTCTGGAGACTCCCCTTTGCCGGTCCGAGTATAGAAGGCTAACTATGGTGACAGCATCGAGCAATACGACATGGAAGTCAATGGTCAGCACCTCAGGCAACCGTTACCGAATGTTCCTGGTTATGTGTATGGGCCTGTTTAGCCAGTGGTCTGGAAACGGCTTGATCGCTTACTGTAGGTCCCCTGAATACAGTGTGAGTAGATCAATGGCTGACAGAAATAGACCTTTCCCGTGTGATGGACTCGATCGGCATCAAAGACAAAAATACTCAGGCTCTCGTCAACGGCCTCATCAATATTTGGAACTGGCTCATTGCCCTCACCACCGCCTTCTTCGTCGAACGAATCGGACGCCGGCCTTTATTCCGTATATCGACTATTGGAATGCTTGTCATGTTCACAGCTTGGACCATTGCATCGGAGCGCTTCGCGGTGACAGGGCTCAAGGCCGCTGGAACAGCTGTGCTGGCTCTCATTTTCGTGTATCAGTTCTTCTACTGCATTGCATTCTCCCCGCTTCCGGTTGCATACTCTGTTGAGGTCCTACCTTATTCCATTCGCGCCAAGGGCATGGCAACATATGTCTTTTCTACCAAGATCGCCGTATTCGTCAACCAGTATGTCAATCCCGTCGGGCTCTCCAATATTGGATGGAAATTTTACATTGTCTACGTGGCGGTTCTGGCTGTGGAGTCTGTCGTGGCTTATGGATGGTTTATTGAGACAAAAGGAAAGGCCCTTGAAGAGATTGCCGTCATCTTTGACGGCGAGGCTGGGGAGATTCTTCAAAATACTATAGGTGCAAAGTTGGGGGATGAAGAGCCAACATCATTGCAGACAGAGAACCGTACAAAGCCGGTTTCCAACTAGGTGCAGATAAGAGTAACAGGAGGAGTGGGGCAAATCATCATCGTTAGAGACTCTGTTTCCTGCTACTAAGTAGTTTTAGCAATAGACCTAACCAATGTATTGTTTTTTCAAGAAAAGAACCTGTGTATGTGGCCCAACAAACCAAAGTAGGCATATGAAAGGAATTCTGATAGAATCTTCCTCTATGAATGAAGCCTTTATTTCCTAGTAGAAGACAAAGGCTACGAATGTAGCCCATCCTGTCTTAGAGCTTGGGGCGTACCTCGGCTACACCAGCTTGTAAACTGGTTGGGCTGCTATATACCTTATGAAATTGGCCCTCTGCATCGTGTTCATTCAGCCAGACTGGATCACCTTTTGAAGCCAGTCTCTTCCTAAATGAGGCGTCTGACTCTGGAACACCCTCCTCCCGGATTTTTTCAAACCGGGCAGCTTGACTCTTCCGCCCGCTGTGCACTTCCTTCAACACTCTCTCCAGATGGGGGCGGCGAGTTGCTTCATAAAGGGCAAGTGCTTCCCCAATACGAGTAGTTGATACTTTCTCTTGGTCTTCAACTCTCCCCTGAAGTATCGTTCGTAGCGAAAGGTAGAGCACGTATGCGTCATCAACTGCCAATGACGCCCCTGCTGCGTACGCACCACCATGCGTGTGGGCTGCATCACCGATCAGGGCAACGCGATTTCCAAAGGTCCACCGTGTGAGAGCCTCGCCAGCGACATTTGTGTACCTCCTCAAAGTGCCTTCGGGGATTCTGTCAATGATTGATGGGATGGGAGAGTAAAATTCCTTGAGGATGTTTGTTAGCCTGACGGAGAACATTCACGAATATTAGACGCCTTACTTTGAATACATTGCGAATATCATCCACGGTGGCCGGAGCGTTCCAAGTTGTATCTGTAAATTTCGAGCTTGAATCGTTTTCATCAACGTGAAAACTGCATGTCACACCGAATTGATCCGATCCTGATGGACAAGATTAGTGGTCGAAGACATTGGATACGATCGTGTAGTGGTCATCTACCTAGTCTTGTTCCGAAAAACCACGAAGTTGGGCTTTGCTGGAAATTTATCAGCCAAAGTTAATTAATAGCATTAACGCATGTCTTGCTCACATAATGAGTTGAGTTCTGTTCAAGTCCAGGGAGATCCGCTACTAGGTCGTAAGGAAATGTGGTTCGAAAGATTGCGTCGCCCGAGGAACTAAGCTTGTGATTTTGGATAAAGGATTCTCGAACTTTCTAAAGAGGTTTGAGAATAATGATCAACGGAATTTGGTGAGTTCATACACTTACCGATTTGATTCCATCGGCCCCAATTACGAGGTCAGCTGTCACGGAGGTTCCATCTTCGAACTCTACTGTAGCACCGTCATCATTGGCCCTCACTCCAGAGACCTTTTTACCAGTGTGAAGGAGTTTTGGTGGAAGATTCTTCAACAGAGCTCTCTGGAGACTGGCACGATGCATTCGAGCAAATTGATGGCGTCTGTCCGGTACGTCATGGTTGTAGTCGATGCTCAACACATCGCCCGTTTTGAAGTGCCTTGATTCCAATAGTCATTGTATGTCCAAACTACTCTTTGCTGATATTGGAGAGGCATCTGTTAGATAAGGAAGAAAGGCGGACACTCTTACTTGAAGCACATAGGAACTCCATTCGGACTTCTCCAACCAACTTCGTCCGTAAGAACATCTTCCACCCCTAACTTCTCCAAAGTTCTCAATCCATTAGGAGCTAGTCCGATAAGGGCACCCAGTTCTTTGAATTCCTTTGCTCTTTCGTACACCTGAACATCGACACCGGGAAGCTGTCTGAGAGCAATAGCTGCACTGAGCCCGGCGACACCGCCTCCAATGATTGCAACTGTGAGGACCATGTTGGCAAAAGTCAGAAGGAATATCTTGGAAGGTTCAATAATAGGGTCAAGGTAAGGTGTACTACAATGGCCCGATGTATCTTTAATTAAATCCACCAGCCTGTCTGGCGGAAGACCAGTTGCTTCGTGGCAACCGATGTCGGATGCTCCACCATACATGGGGTCTATCTAGGCTTGCGCTATGCAAGGATACATCTGTCTATTCTTTCTCCGAGGGCTTGGGACCTGCCCATTATTGAATTGCATCACTCTCACATGTGATCGCGCGACCCAAACCCGGGCTGTCAGAATGGATCCTCTCGACATCCCAGCAGATCTAACGGCGAATAAAGGCTCGCTACGGCACCCCGATTTGGTATTCAGCTTGGGTAGAAGCGGCTTGAATTATTATACGTACGTTTGTCAAAAAACCCAAACCTAAAACATGGCAGAAACACCGAGTGAATCTGATACTGTTGCTGCTGGTATTGCTAAAGCAGGTGTCGAACCTACTCTCACAGAAGTCCACCCGAACGCCGAAGATGGGCCTTTCCATGAGGATAGGGCTGCATTTCTCTCCACCTTCAGCCCGGAGGAAGAGAAGGCCATTATGCGTAAGGTCGATTATCGTCTCTTGGCTTTGTTCGGAGTGATATACATGGTAAAGCAGGTATGTCACTGGGATTATACTACTGATATGGTTAACCATATTACCTATCTAACCGTCGAACAGATCGATGTCAACAACGCTGCAGCTGTTAAAGTTCTTGCGGTAGGCAAGCCAACAAATATCTTAACTCAACTGGACATGACATCAGATGAGTATAATTGGGTCCAGTCTATATACTACGTAGGTTTTTGGTACTCAGAATCTGATAATCAAGCAGAAACTAATCTGATTGCAGATCTCGTACATCATTTTTGAACTCCCAAGCAACCTTTTACTCAAAAAATGGACCCCGAGAATCTTTCAGGCACGAATTATGTTTCTATGGGGACTCGTGCTCGCCTGTCACGCTGCCGTTACAAACAAAGCCGGCATCCTTACTGCACGCTTCTTTCTTGGGCTTATGGAAGCCGGTCTCTTTCCCGCAATAATGACTCAGCTCTGCAGTTGGTATCGTTCGGATGAGATGGGAAAGCCAATTGCATGGCTTTTTGGCATTTTCAATCTTGCTGGAGTAATTGGATCATTGATTGTCTATGGAATAGCATTCCTTGATGGCAGACAAGGTCTCAGCTCTTGGCAATGGTAAGTTCTTCACCCTCCTTATTTGGATCTGCTCGCTGAGAAATGAAAGGGTGTTTCTACTTCAGGGTGTGGCCACAATGGCTTTTGCCTTCTTGGTCTGGTTCTTCTGCCCAGACTATCCTCGCTCAGAGCGCACAGGCAAATGGCTCACTCCAAGAGAACAGAAGTTTGTGGAGTTTAGGCTGACGTCAAATGCCCCTGTGACCTCCGACGCCGCATTCTCCCGCAAAGAGTCCTTGGAGACATTGAAAGATCCACGCCTGTGGGCTTTTATGCTTACCCAGGTGCTGATGAATACAGGCGGATTTGGGCTGAGTTGGTTTTTGGTAGGCGAATCTTCTAAGCTTGTTGTAAACCCAGTGCTAATCATTTCCTGTTCAGCCTACAATTATCACCAACCTTGGATTTGTTGGATTGCCAAGAAATATTTTGCTCCTGATTGTAGGTGTACAGCCCCTATATTTGCTCGGGAGTTCATTCTAATACTCTATGTTTAGCCAACAGCTACCGTTGCGATTTTGGCCATTGCTGTCGCGGCGTATATTCTGCATAAAGCCTGGATTCCCAGGCCCATTTTCACCATCTCAAGTGAGTAACATATTTTTTCCCAGGCATAGATAGAACCTAATATCTTGTAGTTGTCGTCCTTGAAGTGGCCGTCTTTGCAATTTTCATCGCCACAAGAGAGCGTGGCGCAATATATGCTGCCTGCATCCTTGGTACACTGTTCTCAGCCGCTTTTGCCATCCCGTTCTGGTCATGTAAGGAACCTCTCTGTATTTCTCAGTGGCAATCAAATGTGATGGAACTCTAACCATGTTCAATACAGGGCGAACATCTAGTTTAAAGGGCACTACAGGGACTGCCTTCGCATTTGGACTACAGAGCGGCGTGGGCCAACTGGGCGGTGTTATTGGCCCACAGATATTCCAGTCACGTTATGCAGGTGATGGGTACCGAGTTCCTTACTCTATCTGTACGGCCACAATTGGCGGTGGGCTTCTTGGCTGCCTTCTCTGTTGGTATCTGACCCAAAAGCTGGAGCAAGACGTGAGACGGGTTCAAAAGGAGCGTATTCAAGCAGAGCAGAGGGGGCAGCTATACACTGGCCCAGATGTGAATGTACACGCTTAATTTGGCTACAAAAGTCAGATTTGTCGGGATTGCAGTCTAGAGGTTAACAGACCAGCCAGACGGTGGTGCAGGAGTCGTAATACTCTTTCTCGAATATGGGCCATGTACGAGAACGTTGTGAAATCAAGGGCTCATTGCTTATCTACTAGGTACTATGTAATAGGTTGTGCTACGAATGTCGTCATTTGTCTTGAGGATGTCGTTCTTCATGGACCCCTCGTCTCTGGAAACTGGGGTCCCGACTCCAGATTTCGGATATAACACTCGAATAACGAGACAACCGGTGATAGCTCCTCATCGTCCGGATCACACCATTGACCCTATTTTAACGCAAGTAGCAGTATCATCAATGCAGAGTGATTTTGCTGCGTTACCGGAGGTGATGGTTTGTAATCCTTTCCCCTGCCCTGAAAACCTCCCGGGGGCTTGGGTCAGCATTATGATTAGCTTCCAACCCCTAGCCACGTTGATGTTCGAACAAATCAAGTTATCGAATTGTACCACTCACTCTGCTAGTCGAGGCGATCTCTCTCCGAGGAACTAAATTATGCCAGTCTTTGAGAATGGAACAGGGGTGATTGACGGTGCTCCGAACGGGCCAGGACCGCCGCCTCCTCGCTCAAGTTATCCCACAACGCATTTTCAGCTAGAAGACCACCCGGTGGATGAGAGAAGGCGCCTCCGAGTAAATATAATCTCAATAGATGTAGCACCTCATATCTGACATCATCTAGGTTGGGGTTATCGGAGCTGGCATAGCCGGTATCACGGCTGGGATTCTCCTTCCTGCAAAGGTTCCAGAGATAGACTTGACAATCTACGAGCAAAAGAAAGACGTGGTGAGTGATGAACTTAATAGAGCTCGGAATTGAGAGATATTAGTGCCGAAACTGAATTAAAGCAATACAGGGAGGCGTTTGGTATGATAATATCTACCCTGGCGTGCGGTGCGACGTGCCAGCCCACGTCTATCAAAGCTCAATAGAGCCCAACTCGCAGTGGTCAGAAGTCTATGCTCAAGGAGCAGAGATCTTGGAATATTGGAAAGACGTAGCCCGCAAGCGCGATGTTTACAAATACTGCAAGTTTGAGACGGAGGTCATCGAAGCCCGTTGGAGTGATGACGATGCCGTCTGGAGGGTGAAGGTGAGGCACGCGGCTACGGGCGAGAGGACTGATGAATTTGATGTGCTTTTGACAGCTCATGGCAGATTCACTGCTTGGCGTTTACCGGATTATCCTGGACTGGAAGCGTTCAAGGGATTTGTGCGACATACATCCAACTGGGATCCCTCCTTCAACTTCAAAGGCAAGAGGGTTGCGGTAATAGGCAATGGTGCGAGTGGTCTACAAGTTGTGCCAAATCTACAGCCACATGTAGCCCGGTTAGACCACTACGCACGTAACAAGACGTGGATTGCCGGTGCCTACACGGGAGACAACGAACGGACGCTGGAGGCTCAGCCCATCCCAGCCGACCTCCGGGAATCATTCAAGGATGATGCCGACAAATATCTTACCTATAGGAAAGGGGAAGAAGATCAGTATTGGCGCAGATTCGATGCTCTGTTTAGGAATTCTGATACGAATTCGAAAGCCAAGCAACAGTACCTCGAAGTCATGAGGAAAAGGGTGGCAAAGAAACCAGAGCTTCTCGATTCGCTTCTTCCAGACTTCGCACCACATTGCCGAAGACTGACCCCTGCTCCCGGCTATTTAGAAGCACTTTGTGAAGAGAACGTGGACTTTATCCAAACACCGATCAAAAGGTTCACAGAAACGGGTATCGAAACCATCGATGGGAAACAACGGGACGTTGACGCTATATTTTGTGCAACTGGTGCGAATGTGGAATCTGCAACACCTTTCTCGGTCATCGCCAGAGGCGTTGATCTTCGCGAGGCCTGGAAACCTGACGGCCTCTTTGGCTGGCCATACTCATACATGGGCGTGGGGACACCAGGGTTCCCCAACCTGTTCTTCATATTTGGACCACACAGCGCTGGTGTTTCGGGGACAGTTCCATCAACGGCAGAAAACTACGTCACGTACATTGCGAAGGTGCTGCGCAAAATCTCCAGCCAGGGAATCCGGACCATCACGCCGAGCCGACAGGCCGCCAACGACTTTGTTGAATATTCGGACGCCTTCTTCCCCACAACCTATCTCACGGATCACTGCAGCGCTTGGCACAACAGTGGACGACCTGGTTCACGGATTCATGCGCATTGGCCAGGAAGCGCTTCGCATGAGAGATATGTCAGGTTTGATCCGCGGTGGGAGGATTTCGAATATACGTATCTCTCCAGGTCGGGAAACCGCTTCGCATGGCTGGGCAACGGATGGAGTAAGAAGGAGAAGAACAAGGATGAAGATGTTACGTGGTACCTCCGAAAGCCAGAGGAAGTGAATCTCAAGAGTTGGTATGAGAATTGGTATGAAGTATGGTAAATGTTTGTAGCTCTGTTACCAATTAAATTATCACTTATTCGTATCATTGGTTAGGGCCCGAGAAGAAAGAATTGTTGCAGCACGCGTGACTATTATTTTCTTTCAGCAGGTCAAATTACTGGTTGTGATACGAGGATGAACAATGAGAAATAAGATGGAAATGGTTGTTAGTCCGGAAGGATAT